GACTTGCAACACAGTGACTTGGTCACACCTCTGCTCCTTGCACATCTTTCCATGAGCGCAAATAAATCCATGTCTGCAGAGTTTCTTTACCTGTGTGTGAGCTTGATGGAGCAGGTCCAGGAGAGTCTCCACTGCCAGACGCAGCCTGTTGCAGGCTTTAAGGGCCGATTCTTCTCCTGCAGGACTGATCTGAGTGTCTGCAACCAGCAGACTCTCGCACAGCATTTGGGTCAGTTCCATCTCCTCTGATGTCAAATCTACAACTGAAATAAATGTGGATAAGAAAAGAAAGATTTATTTCATGTCATTTAAGTGTGTATATATACATATAAAAAGGCAGCTGGTTCTTATAATGGTGATATTATTCAAGCAGTTTAAATCCTAAATGGAGTAAAGTCTGAGATCAACAGACCCGATTCCTGATCTCGGTGCTCTTTTGAACTTTTCTGTGTCGTCTGTTCGTTTGTTTGGATCCTTCTGTTGATCTTTTGTCCGATTAGTTCTTCTGTTGCTACGACACTGCGAAGCATCTCAACCAGCACTTTACTCATTTTCTCATTTGCACCATACAGTTTGGTCCTGTAGAGAGAGAGAGAGAGAAAAAAAAAAAAAACAGCAGATTCCGGTTCAATGCTTTTTACACATACATTTATTGCAGCCATAAATAATCTAAGATTTACTGAGGTCGAATCACAGGCTATTTTAGTACTAAAATCTGAAACGTGACAAATTCTGGCTGTGCTTGAAAAGTGCCACTTAAAAATTACTCGGCAAACATTTTTATATACCTTTTATAATTTATTCAAACTGCCACAATAATTACTTACTTTTCCTCTTTGGCATCCTGCAAGTCATCAGTGAGCATCTTCAGCAGGTTTCCCCCCTCCTGGCTCTCTCGTTCCCTTCTTTGGAGGAGAGTGTCCAACGTCTCCATCTCTGCACGTTTCCCGTGCAACTCGTCCTGCAAGCACCCGATTTCTGCACGCAGCTGAAGGAGGAAGACAGTTTTCATTCATTCCACTCCCCAAACTAAACGTTCCCTCCTTCCTCTTTTATCCATTTTAAGGATTGCATCAAGTCACTTAAATGTCCAGAAGAAGAGTCTTTAAAATTAAGAGTAATTAGTAATCCACACAGTCCCTGACTCTTGTTAAAACTAGCCAAAATGCAACACCCACTAACTTCTAATCATCCAGCAGGACTGACATCCACTTCTGAGCATCATGTCAGTGCAGCTGGGTTGTACTTCAATCTATCTGAATGCCGTAATGGCTTCTTCACAGCTCAGTTGTTATTATTCTTACCTTTGATTTCTCTATGTCTTCCCTCTTGTTCCCCCCCCTCTTTTCCCTCCTCAACTCACCTCCAGCAGCCACCTAGCTCAATAAAACAATGCCACTGCCATGGCAACAGCCTCCACCTCCTGTTAAACCTCTCTATGCCAACCTCATGGAAACCAGAGTGTGTGTTAATATTTTACTTTAAAGAGCAAAAGATGTCATGGAAACAAACAAAAACAAACGGGAACATCTTTACTGCCAGCAATTAGATGGGGGAGGGAGACGCCGATTACAAAAAAAACAAAAAAAAAAACAAAAAAAAACTGGAAAATCATTTGATAACTACGGATTCACAAAGTCCTTAAAATTTATAAAAATTTATGTCGTTTTTTTTTAAATAAAAAGAAAATGCTTTAGTAATCTTCAAAGCAAATAGGATTCCACAAAAAATTACTTGAATTTTTAAAATTTATTTATTTTTTTATAAAACTTCAAATGAACTTCTTAAGTCTCAAAAAGGAAGTAATGTAAAGTTTTTCAACTAGTTGTTCTTCCCAAAATAGCTATGAGAAAAATTGAAGAAATTCAAACAATTAATACCACCAATAAGAACAAAAGTTAGAAAGTGAGAACCTTAACTTGTCAAACTTTAAACATGTATCGCAAAATAATTATAACGTAGCATCTCCACTGTACATGAAATATGAATTTTGCATTTTGTTATGGTGCAAATCTTTATCTGCAAATCATAACCTGACTTATACACGACTGAATAATTTAAGTGATTCACTCACTGGAATCAACATCAAATGTTGTTTTACACCTTCCATCTGCACCAAATGGGCAAGACATACGAGATGAGCAAGAGATGTTATGTACAGGCGTTTTCAGTACCTGGGCAACTACAGCCTCCAGTTGCTGCAGCTGGGTGGTGAGCTCGCTCATTTTGCTCGTGTAGATCTGCTCCTTTTCCTGCTGCTGAGATGTGAAGCTCCGCCTCAAAACTTCAAGCTCCACCTTTTTCCGTTCCTCAAATTCAGTCTTCGATGGCAACGATGCGAAGCAGAAGCAGAAGATGCAGAGCGGAAAAAAAAAAAAAAAAAAAAAAAAAACCCGAGAGAAAAATGAGCGGCAACACCTTGTAAGTTATACTTTCCTTAAATCAGTGGCCATCTTCTGCCTGAATGTCTGGCTGCACATTTGAAACGGTCAACAATTAAATACCCATTTGCTGCCTTAAAACCGTTGGCATTAGAGAATAAAAAACCCTAAATCCAATCCCTTTTAGCTGTGGTTCAGATGAATGAACGGAAACACATGCGCAGCACAGAAGAGCACAGATTGAGAATGGAGACAGACGGACGTCAACACTTGTACATATATGCTGGTGGGATTAGGAGAAAACTGGGTTTGAGTAAAGCTCAAATGGGACAGAGTCCAAGCGAGGGAACTATCCTCTGAACTGGTGCAGCTGGAGCTTAAAGGGGGCTTCACAATCGGCACACACACTGTAGCGCCAGATAATCCTTCGCTATTACGTAATATTCCCAACAATATTCTACACAACATTTCAAAAATAATAAGAAAAAACAGAAAAGATTTAAAACATAGGGTAAAATAAACTGAAGAGATCAGTCTGACATTTCCGAGCGTCTCATCTTTTTCTTCTCATGCCTGAACAATTTAGTTTTTACCTTCAGATGGTTAATCTTGTCCTGAAGTCGCTCTTCCGATTGAACTTTGAGGAGCTCCACCTCTTCCTGGAAGCGCTGCCGTTGCCTTGCCGACTCTTCTTCGAGCTCCCGGCGACAGGCGTCCAGTTCGCGTGCAGAAGTTCCCCTCAGCTCCTACAACGGAAACCCACACAATTTCAAATGGCATGGTTTGCAGCTGGCAACACCTTTAGTACGTCAAAGTTGGAAAAAAAATATAAATAAATAAATACCCAGCATCTACAGAGAAACATGCCGTTATAGAGGATAAACAATGTTTTAGTGTAATCCCTTCTCTAATGGCCTGTAAGAGCCACCAGCACAAGAGCTTTAGAGGAAACTATTAACGAGCATCCACACTTCAAACACAACTATAATCTGATCATTTGTGTGCAACACACACCTGAAGCTGACTTTGATGCTGCTCTATAAGTTGCTCCTTTTCAACACCGTAGGTGTGCGACAGCTCCTGCAGGGCCGTGCCGTGTTGCTGCTCCAGTTCCAAAACCTGAAGAAAAAAAAAAAAAAACACACAGTACAGTACTCAGTTTTAGTTTAAAACATTCAAAGAAAGCTCTGAAACTACTTGCTCGCAGCTATAGTCGAGTTACCAAGTTACCAGAAAATGGTAATTTTTTGGTTGAACCCCGTTTTGCCCATATTTGCTTTAAGTTCCTTAGAGTCTCAATAAGCAACCGCAAACTTCAAAAGTTAACACAAAAACATCTACAGTGATTGTACAATCGGCTCCCTGTTTTCCACCCCTCCCTCCTAATGGTCACCAGCTGAACTAAAGCAGCAATATCTTGGTCATGTCTGGATAACAACAATGCGGGCTCAGCTTCCTTCAGCTTATTTGCTACAACAGGTCTCTTTGTCCATGTAGTTTAAAAAAATAAAAATAAAAATCAAGATAGTCATTTGCTTCAGAAAAGCTCATTGTCAATTACTTTGACTTTAAACTCCCCTTTTCTCTTTCAAACCTAGTATTTATGTTCTAAAAAATGTTGATGGGCAGGGGAGATGTTGAGCAAACCTGTTCCCTAAATTGAAAGTTCATAATGTAATACTATAAGAATGAATGCAGGACATAATGGGCTTCTGATTTTTTTTTAGCTTTGTGACTTAAAAAGGAAAATCAAATGCATTTTGAGGGACAGCTGTACCTGCTGCTTAAGCACTTCCAACGCTCTGCAGTGTTCTGTATCCAGCGTCTCTTTCTGAGCAGCCAGCTCCATCTGTGAAACAGATTGATGTGAAATTATCAACCAAGTGTTTAGTCATCATGTGTTCAGACTGTGAGGCTACAGTTTCTTACCTTGTGAACGTGGTTAAGCTCAGCTGCCATGGCCTTGAACTTGTCCATGTGAACCTGAGCCAGCTCTCTCTTCAGCTCCTCCCTGATGGACAGCTGCTCTGCAGTCTGTCGCTCCATCAGCTGTTTGTGCTCTGAACTCCTGGAAATCAGATCCTGGCGATGCTCCTCCTCGAGCCGATTCATCTCATCACGCAAAACCTGAGATAAAATCGAATACATGAAGTATTAAACTGGGAAAAACCCCCGTCAACGCTCGCCCTGTAAATACTAAGCTCAACCTTATTGGGTCAAATGGCTCGTCTCTACTTACTTGCACTTCTTTTAAGTATGTGGCCTCCAAAGTGTCCATATTTCCCAGCATTCTCTTTTCCAGTTCATCCCTCTCTTCCTGGTGTCTGTGCGCCAGTTCTGCCTCCAAAGCCTCCAACTGGGCCTGACTGGTCTCCTTGAAAGCAGCTTCCAGTTTTTTAAGGTCCTCCATTCGTTTAGCATCGAGGGCAGATTCCAGAGCAACAAGCTCAGCTTTGTGCTTATTTCCAAGCTCACTGACCGTAGCCGCGAGCTGATCTCTGTGACAGGCACCGAGTGAGTCCAGCTGGGCTTTGTGCTCGGCGTGGAGCGCGTTCATCTCTTCCGAGTGCTTGTTTAGGAGCCTTGTCCTCTCATGTTCAAGCTCGGCTTTATGCCCATCTTCCAACTCTGCCGCAGACTTTTCACAGCTCTGCACCAAACGCCGCTCCAACTCCGCTTTCTGCTCATCAAACCTGGAGACGCGGGCACAGGAAAACGAGCTCAAAGGAAAGTAACAGAAAGTAGCTGGCTTTCATTTGTTTGTTAAATAATTATTGATGGAAAAACAAAATTTTAACCAAGGATTTTTGTCTCGTCTCTAGTGCAAATATTTTTTAGCATACTAAGTTAAGTTATTAAGACAGAATAACTATAAGTAACTTTACAGAAAAGATAAATAAGCTTGTTTTAAGTCAATAAATATGGAATATAGATACAAAAAAAAAAATCCACTTTAAACAGAAAAAATGTCCAGTTACAAGTGGAAAACAATCTGCCGCAGTGGAACTAGTACTTTCTAATGCATATTCAGGAATTATTCACTTAATTACACTTGCAAATCTCTGCTGAAATGCTACTTTTACATTATTCTTATCTTAATTCAAGTGACCTAATTTTTTTGTACTAGAAACTAAAACCAAAATGATGACTTATAATATAATCATTTAATCTTTGAGATTAAACATTTTAAGATTACATTCCTCTGATCCATTGCATGGAGTTCAGGCTCCCTGAACATGAAAACTTACCCTTCAAATTCATTAAAAGAATTAATGACAATACAATATTAGTGTATACCGATGCTACTTATGCATTATCTGTCAGAAACATTTATCCAACTACTCCTTCACATCACTGATTCTGGGGGTTATTATCCTGCCAATCACTAACTAGAGCCAATTTCTTGAGTCTGCTTGGTGCATCTCTAGTCCTTAACATAAACAAAATACAGTTGGATTTTCTTCATGTACTGTCAGATTTAGTAGAACAACCCTAATGACAGCAAGCGCAACCCCGACGTGTCGGATCTGACCTTTGCTGGGCTAGTCGAAGCTTCTCCTCGCTCTGCTCATGAAGCAGAGCTTTGAGCTCTTCCGTTTCTTCAGCCATGCAGCTCCTTGCCTTTTGCAGTTCGTCGTTGTACTGAGCCTCCAATTGTCGTTTTACCATCAGAAGCTGTGGGCCTGGAAGACAGTTTTTTTGTAAAAACAGAAGAACTCGAATGTAACCAACGTAGCTCGTGTACGAGAGCCGACCTTCATCATCATCATCTAGAGAATGGTCAAGAGACTTTAACTTCTCTCTTTCTTTATCAAGAGCTTCTTCAAGGCATTTCTTTTCTGACCGCAAAGCAGAGATCTCGTTTTCGTGTTCCTGTAGAAGCTCTTCTCTCCATTTCTTCAAACTTTCCTCCCCGTGATCAGCTTCATGCCGTTTACTCAGAGCAGCAAGGTTGTTCTCAAGTGTGTGGATGACCGTCGTCCCCGTCTGCAGCTCCTCAGTGAGACGCCACATCCTCTGTTCTACCTCCACCTGATTAAGGATGAAAACACTGAAATGAGAACAAAAATGCTGACAAAATTTCAAATCAGATGTTACAAATTGATTTCCCTCACCTCTACCTGCCTTTCTGCCTCCAAATGCACTCTGGTGAGATCTGTGCGAATATTTTATCAACGTTAAGATCTTTCAAAAAGGAAAGTGAGCGTTTTATTTGCTTAAAGCTGCAGTCGCGAGGCACCTTGTAAGTGGCTTTCAGAAAGTTTGGCTCGGAGCTGCTCCAACTCCAGGGCGTGACGAGTCTTCATCTCTTGCAGCTCTTCGTAGTAACGGTCCGTGAGGTCTGAGCGCACCTGGGAGACAACGACGACGACGAAAACTCACAATCTGAAGCGTCAGATTTTTACTTTAGCTTATGTGAAATCGACACGGCGCCTCACCTGCCGCAACTCTTCTTTATAAGAAAGAGCCAAGGAAGATTCCAGCTGGGAAAGGTCCATTGCATGCTTCTCCTCCAGCTCAACACGCAAGTTGTCGAATGATTCCTGCGCAAGACAAAAGCCAACACAATGATGGATCTTCACAGAGAAAATAAAAAAAACAAATAAATATCACATTATTTAACTTTAAATCTTCTCCGGATTCTTACAGTGTGAGCAATAGATGCATCTCTTTCACCCTTCTCTTCATCAGCCAGAATGTGATGCATAGCGCTGGAAATCAAGACCAAAGGAATGAATGCTCCGACATATTTACGCAGCACTGGAGAAACGGTCCATATGAGGGCCTACCAACATACCCGTCATCTGCGGTTTTCATCACAGATTCCTCCAAGGCACTTTCGACCAGCCTCAGCTGCAGAAGAGCTACTTCCTCTTTGTAGGTCTCCTCCGACGCGTGCAGCCGCTTCTCAAAATACCTAAGGAGGAATAACGTTATGAGATTCTTGCACAACATAGCAAAGTAGACACCGTTACCAGATTCAGCTGCAGCACAAAATTATACATCAACTGGTTATCTGTATCAAGGTATACCAAAGTTTAAAAAACATATGTTTGACAATATACAAACAGCAGATTTGTGTAATTTATATGATATATGAAAACGGTGGAACGCAACTTAAAAAATATATTGTTAAAGTTTTTCAAGTCAAATAAAATGTAGTTTGCAACTGAGTCAATAAGCAGACCTATATATACATATATATATATATATATATATGATTTGTATTTTGATAATATACAGCAAATTGTACTTTGAGTAGAAACTGAAACATTTTTGCTGTGGTTCATCCTACCTTATAAATCCAGATGCTGCTACATTCAATATGTCTTAACGCAAATAAACCAGCAGCTTTACACTTCATCCTCTTCAGACCATCATGAAAATGTCATAAAAAAAAATTATTATCTACTGTACATGTTATATCTACTGGTGAAACAAAAAAAAATTACCCAAACGGTATGATCTGATTTTTTCTTTTGAGCAAGTCACTTGATTTTTAAATGCAATTTTCTTTCAAAAGTAAGTCATAAGATGGTTTACTTACAGATTTGTATTTTGTTTTTCTGTATTTTTTTGGGTTTTTATTGTGGACTGAAATGTAATATTAATCCAGCTGCTAAAAAAATAAAAAGTCTGAGCCATCTGCAAAAAAATAAATAAATGCAAAGCTCTCTAGTACCAAATTTTTGCATAAATTAGTTTTATATGTTCGAACATTTATGAAGTGTACTGCACCACTTTACTGTTTACTCCACACCTTGTACATCATTTCACACTGCATTAACTTAATTTTACTGTTGCCAAAATACTCCATAAATGTGTTAGAATGTTTTAACACCAGCGATATTATCCGTTTCACCTCTTTAGATCTTGTCATAATCTAGTTATGTTTCGTGTGAATGCAGAGTACTGCCGTGGAAAAGTGCAAACACAGGAGACGTGAAAGGCAAGGTCCAAGTTTAGTGTGTGAGACCAGGTGTGTGGTTACGTCGTCGTCGTACTTCCTGAGGTTTTCCAGCTCGGCCTCATGCAGCTCTTTGATTTCTCGTTTCTGCTCGCTGAACTCCGTCTTGAGACGCTCGATGTCATCGACCTGAGACGAGCGAGCGATCAGCTGCTGCTTCAGCTCTGGCAAACGAGAAGACAGACAGAGAGAAGAGTCTAGTTTAGTTTTACTTTCACCGTCGTACTTCACTCTGAACGCCACCGGTTTATAAAGAAACGTTTCACGCAAGGTCAGTAGAAAGAAGAAGAAGAAATCCATGGTAACGGACACATGCCGGTGCACGCTCCTGCAGATGTCAGGTTGGTGTAATGATCTTACCCCCCAGCTCTTGACGGCTAGCTCTCATGCTCTCCAGCTGCGTCCACAGCTGACCCACTTCTTCCTCTGAGCTCTTTTTAAGCAAAGCTTTCTCTTCCTGAAGGTGCGAAACCTGAATGACAAAGCAAAACTTCTTTTGAGATGAAACAAATGACGTTCCAGATTACTTAAATGCATGTTTATACACCCGAGATTGACATGACGGAACAAAGCATTAACTCTCAAATTTAAACCTTAAAACAATCATGAACATGTTGTTATTTTTAAGCAAGAAATGAGCTCCAACTCGAAGTGACACTGTTGGAAAGTCAACTAACCTCTTGCTGCAGTTGCTGCTCTTTTTCCTCAAGGTGGCGTACTTGCTGCTCTTTCTCCTGCAGAGTCCTCTTATGACTGCAAACCAACTCCTCCAAAGAGCCTACGTGGTATTCACAGAACAAGACAGTTTTTAATTTAATGGAGAGGGAAAAAAACAGCATTGTGCCACATAAGAAAATGCAGAATAATGATGTAACAGCATTAGAGAGTCTATGATTCAATGGATAAAATTAAATTTTACCCAATTTCCTAATGTCCATATATAGTCAAATATGTAAAATGTGTGTTTACTTTTTGCTGAAAAACTTAAACTAATCGGTTTTCTTTTTGTTTTGAAATGGAAGATCATTTCGACAACATACTGGTGGCAGCCTCTTTGTCAGCCCAGGCTCGTTCCAGGTCTTCCTCTAGTTTCTGGACCCGCTCCGTCCTGGAGGTTTGGAGTTCCTCCAGAGCGGCCGTCGCCTCCTGTAGGTCAGACTGGCTCTGAGACAGAGCCGCCCTGGTGTTTGCCAGAGCTCTGCTCGTTTCTGCCAGGGAGGCCTGGGTGTTGACCAGTTCTGTCTGCGTGGCATTGAGACGGTTCTGAATCTCTGACAGAGACCTTTGGCTGGTTGTTTCAGCCTCCGTCTCCCACTGTGCTGTCAACGCCTGACAAAAAAATATTCTTATTAGCTTTTAAATAAAGTGAAGCAATGACTTGCAAAGATAATCGCCGTTTATTATCTTAGTGCATCTTGTTTTGCGACCAACAAAGTAGCAAATAATCATGAAATGCAAAGAAAGCGATACATAGTTTTCAAAGTCTAAAATGTGTATAGCTTTTTTTTATTATTATTATTTAACCAAGTTAGTCGCACGGAGATCAGAGCAGCATAGTAACAATGAAAACAAACACACATTAAAATATGCTCACAGAACCCAGATGATATCTATGCTGCCAAGTTATCACCATATTTTTAAAAGTCCTTCAATGTTGCAAGGGTTTGAAGTGAAAGTTTAGATTGCAGCCAGGCATGAAGTGCTGCAAGCCAAAAAAAGTCTTCTTACTCAGTTCATACTTTAGGGATGACAGATTACAGAATTTCCATAGAACCGAGATTGTAACTTCCATGTTTCCTTGTAAGGCGACAAGATATACAAGGAGTTGAAACTAGAAAAGTTTTATGATAAACACATACCGAGGACTGAGCAGTCATATAAAGATGTCCAGATAATTTTAGAATAAAATACACAATGATGTTACAGTTGGTAATAAATCGACGCCCCATGGCATACACTATTTAGCATGCAAAGACAGTGGAGCAAAGCCTTCCTATACAATAAATCTCCATGGTTCACAAGAGCCAGAAACGTTGCCTCCAACTATTCCAATATCTATTTTACACAAAAGAAAAAGTGGGGCTTATTTTTATTGTACAATCCGAGAAGAATTATGTTATTTTCGGATCTACAGACTGAACACGGCCCTTAAAAGCTGTGGCTACAAATGATCATTCATTAAAAATCTTAGACACCAACTATTGGTTTTTCACTTCAGATTTTTCTCATTCAGTGTAGAGGACTAACTGCGTTTTCAATCAATAAACCTCCTACGAGGTCCAACATGGAACCAATTACCTTCAGAACTCACCCCAATAAGAGGTTAATGAAGTCCAACTGTGTAAATTAGTTTTGTCTTGCGAGCAGAATGGCATGTTTGGCAGACCGCTAACTGTACACGTCACTCTTAGCTTAGAGTGGTGGTGGCAGAATCAAGAAGTGGGTGTGCTTTTCTTCAGCAGGAAAAGGACAGCAAGTCAGCTTTGATGGGAAGATGAATAGAACTAAAAAAACAACATGTAAATACTGGAAAAGGCTCTTAGGACCAGCACAAGATCGATTGTTGGGCCAAACCCACACACCAATTGATCATCACAAGGAAAACTTAAAAAACTTGAGCTCCTTTTAATTCATCTAATTTTCTCTAGATGAAAAGCTGGTAGAGACAAAACCCTAAACTCCTTCAGTTAAAGATGGTTTGGAACACATAACATTTTGAAAACCCTGCATCATTTCCATTTTACAACTTTGTGTAATTTTTTTGTTGATCTGTCACATAAAAACCTAAGAAAGTAAAAAGTTCAAGTATAAAACAATATTAGAAAGACGAAAACAAGCTCGACCTGTATTTCTTTAGTTTGTTTCTCCTCCATTGCAGCTCTCTCCCGAGCAAAACGAGCCTCAAAACGCTGCTTCAACTCATCTAAACATTCACAAATACAAAGGGGAAAAAAATTGATGTAAAAATAAAAAAAATAAAATGATTGAGCATGTGAGCAGAGAGCTGCTCCAGTTTGCTTGTACTCACCGATCTCTTGCTGGTGTAGCTCCTGCAGCCGGTCTTGCTGCTGCCGATTCTGCTGTTTGAACGAATCCAGGTCCGACTGATGCTGGGCCTGAAGAAGAGCACTTTCCTGGGCGAACTTCTCCCTCATAGAGGCCTGGAGCTCCTCGACAGCAGATTCTTGCTCTTGCTGCACGTTCGCTTGTGACGTCGCAGGCTGAGAGGCGCGAGCCGTCGTCAGGCTCAGACGTAAAGCTTCGAGCTCCATGCTCCTCTGGGTCTAAAACACAGATTGCTCATTGGAGACTGTGTGTTTTTACTAGCACAAACTCTATAGTGTCAGGCTATGTTTAAACATTCATATTAAACTAAAATTTATATTTTTATTACACATACGAAAGAATGTCACAAAAGTTTGTTGGGGTTTTTTTTCCCCCTGAAGTTGTGGATTTTAAAACGCACCTGCACCTGATGCATCTCGGCCTGGTGGGCAGCTTCCATGCTCTCCCTCAGCTCCAGGGTCACCTCTGTCCTCAGCTGTTCCAGCTCCTCGTTGTGTTTGGCCTTCAGTCCTGACATCATCCTCTCGTGCTCCCGTTCCGTTACCTGAGGGAAAATCAGAATAAGGAATGAGCAAGCTACAAACAAAAAGGGGAAGGTTGTATTTATTTTTTTTTATCTGCCGGAGCGACTCATACCTCTTTGATGAGGCCGATCTGTTGCTTCTGCTCTTCCTCCATAACGACCCGCTGCTTCAGCAGCTCCGTCTCCAGGCGATCGTTCAACTCAGAAATCTAGATATTTATTTAGGAGGAAATACTGAAACGTCTATAATCGTAATCTGAAGACCACATTTATGAAGTTTGCGAATCCCACCTCTTGCTGATGTTTCTCTACCAAGATTCTTATTTCCTGCTTGTGAGAAGCTCTGAGTTTTTCTGACACTTCCTCCACGGCCTGCGCCTGCTTCTGAACGACAGCCTTCACCTCCTCTTCCTTCTCTTTCAGTTTTTCCTCCAGTAAACGAGTTGCATCGATCAGCTTCTCCTTCTCCTGTCTCTCCTCCTCCCATTTTTCCTTTTCTTCAGCCAACTGTTAGATAATGTTATTTGTCACATAAATAAAGCAAAAAGAGCAAATCAAATGGGAAAAATATGTCAAGTTTATGCTACGTGCATCTCACCTCGAGATCCTTGGCTTTCATAATGTTCTCAAACTGCTCGAGCTCCTCCTCCAGGACCTGTTCCATCTTTTTTATCCGTTCGTCCATCTGCTGTTCCTTCCTCTTCTCCTCCTCCCGCTGTGTCGCGGACAGAGCCTGCGCCTCCTCCAAACAGGCCAGGTTTTCTCTCAGACTGTGAATCTGAGACTCCAGCTCGTTTTTCGCTCTTTCAGCCGAGTCTAGACCATCCTGGCTCTCCTGCAGTTCCTGCTGCAGTCTGCCGACTTCGTCTTGGAGCTTTAGAAACTGCGAGCGGGTCGCTTCAAGCTCCTTTGAGACGGCATCGAGCTCGGCTGCCTTCTGACCGAAGAGAGTCGTCGTCGTTTTCTGCTCCGTCTTTGTCTCCTCTAGTTCTGATTTCAGCTGGTCACAGTAAGCCTTGCGATAGGTAGCGAACAAAAAGAAAAACAAAAATCACTCAATATGCAATTTGCATTCATTTGAAATCATAAGCATATTCACATTCCCAGTGAACTGTGACCTCTTATTGGAGTGACATACTTGTAATGTCTGGATCTGGAGCTCGTCGCTCTGCTTTGAAACATCCGTGGAAGAATCTGGACTCGGCTTCGTTGCCTGCAGTTCCTCCTGATTTTGAGGAGCCAAGAGAGAAACCTCTTCCTCCGTTTCCTCATTTAGTTGTCCTGAAAATTCGTCGACGTTTTCCGACGAAGAGACAGAAAACCTAATCAGGGATGTTTCTGCGGTTCCTCCAGCTTCTCGTCCCGTCGATGTTGCCACGGTTCCGTTTCCCCTTCCTTCCATTAAGGCTCCGTCTCTGTAGTCAGAGGTTTCCTGCTCATCAGTCCTCGAGTTCATCTCTTCCTCGGCCAGCCTCCGTCTCTCCCTCTCTTCCTCAAGTTCAAAAAGAGCTTGCTGCAGTTCCTCCGTCACCTGGGCCCACCTGAGCAAAAAAAAATGGCTCAAGTCGTAAATTCAAAACATAAAATTATCAAAAACGGCTGCAATTAAATAAAAATAAATTAGGTGGCAGAGAAACTCAAACAAGAACATAATTTTTTAAATGGGAGAAAGATTTATTTTTTTTCTAAAAAAAATAAAAATAAAAATAATATCTAATTCAAATCGGAAAAGTGCGGTGTGCCAACCTGCTTACTGTTTAACGCTGGAGAAGAAAAACGAAACCCGTCTGAACATGCAGTCAGATGTACAAAGAAATTATTTTAGTCAAATGTCTTGACCAGCCCTGGATCAAACCATGTTTAAAGGCCCAGTCAGACCCAGTTTAATCTAAATTTGTGTTCAGGTTCCCTACAGCTGATCTGAAGTAGCTATGGCTACTCTGCAAAAGAGAACAAAGGTTTTAGTCTAAACTTATAAAACTGATTGACGAAGGCTGAACCCAATGCCACCTTTCAGCTTTTTATTTATACAGCAAAAAATATTTCATGCATCATTTCATTTTCACTTCTCAACCATGCTCTACTGTGTTTTGGCTTGACCAATTCACACCATATTGAACATTTGAAAGCCACAGCACATGTTTGTCCATAAAAATTACAAACATGTGGTAAAAGAAATAAAGCAAAACCATCTTCTATTATTTTCCTTTACCTGCTCCGCGCCTCCTCCAGTTCCTCTGCGCTCTTGAGGACTTCCTCCTGCAACACGCCCAAGTCGCGCTCCTTCTGAGCCAGCTCCTCGCGCAGCTGGCTCAGCAACTGTTTTTCCAACTCGGCCTTCTCAGACTGCTGGTCGGACAGTTGACTCAAGCCCATTTCACCGGAGCCGTGAAGCCACCGAGAGAAGAACTGTCCACTGGAATCGCCAGCCTCTGAGACGGTGTACTGCGTGCTGCTGATGTTCTGATTGGTCTTGTTTTCTTCGCAGACACGGTATGAAATCGACAGCAGCGGCTGGTCACCGAAAACGTCGCTGTTGAGCTCGAAACTGCACAGAGAGGCAGAAAGGGGAAACGTTAGCGCCATCCAGCGTGTAAACCATGGAAAAAAAAAAGAAGACATATTTCAATCCAAAAGCTTCTGTTACCTGCAGTCTGCAGTCACATCCAGTTGACTTGGTTGTTCAAAACCTTCATTTACAGCTGAAGATTGCGAATGTGCTGGCGGAACCGAGGACAGGTACCGCTCCATCAGAATATCTCCTTGTGCCGATGCGTCCAGATCCTCGCCATCAGCTCCACTTTCCAGGTGGGCTTCCTCTACCGTAACCTCCTCAGCAGTGATGGCAGCTTTGGCGTGGTTCTCCCGGTTCTTAACAGCTTTCAGTCCTTCCACCTCTTTCTCCCTCTGCCGAAGTTGTCTTTCGCTCTTATCCAGCAGCTGCCTGACGTGCTCGACCTCCTCTTTGAGCGTTTGCGTCTCATCCTCCAGTCTCCGCTTTTCTTCCTCAAGGCTCCGGAGACGGCAAGCGGAGCTGGCAGAATCCAAATCGGATCTCCTCTCGGAGTCTTCATTCTGAAGCCTCCGCCTCAGCTCCGACACTTCTCTGTTCAGCTCTTCCTTCTCCTCTTTGTACTGCTGCATGACAAGGCAATGGTTTTGGAGCTTTTGCAGTTGGGCCTCGCTTTCTTTTCGCTCCTCTTCCCTCTCCTCCTCCAGCAACGAAAGCACGCGTCGGTTTCTCTCCATCTCCTTTTCTAGTTCAGCACTTAAACGTTGGCTGTTTTTCCTTTCTTCTTCCAGCTCAGACATCAGCTTGTGTAAAACCGTATCAATCTCAGCGTCGCTGTAACCACTGAGGCCTTCTGGGCTCTGCTGGGAGCCATGGCCTGCATTTCCTGACCCCTCTACTGTTGCCTTTTTATGCCTGATGTTTGAAGAGAGGCCATGGTGATGCTCCGCAACACCAAAGGCTTCGGCCCCCGGGTGACCTTTAATCCGCTGGAACTCTATGTTGGTCTGTACGAAATGAAACAATCAATACGGAGCTTTGAACTGCAAAAAAAAAAAAAGAAATAAAATAAATAGCTCAGTCCTAAAATGCTTCCACTCACCTGCTGGAGCCGTTTCTGCAGAGCCTGGATCTGTCCAGCAAGACACTGAGCCTGCAGCTGCATCTCATCTCTACTCGACAGGGCTTCTTGCAGCTTGTGGCTGAGTTTGGCAATTATTTCATTCCGCTTCTCGACAGCCTGCTGCAGAAGCTGCAGATGTGGAGATTTAGGCACGATCGAAACAAATGTTTTCATTCTTTCAAAATAAATTTGACCATCTGGGCTTTAGAAACCATGAAACTGAATGGAATATGTCAATATGGTTACTTCTACAGTTAGAAAATATTAATCATAGTCTTTGAAGAGGTTTAAAATGTATATATTTTTTGATCATTATGACTGGAGGCAATAATATTGTTGAGTGGTCCAGTTAGAGAACTAAACTAATAATTTCATTAACTATACATACTGCCATAGACACATGAATGATGTCAATAGAAAATGCGTCCAATATAATTTTTTATAATTTCACTGGAGTCCAATCCAGAACCACACAGCATTCTGGGGGATGTAGGCAGAGGAAAGGCTTTTGTTGCTCAGCTCATCAGGCCCAACTGAGCAAGGTTGGAGGCATCAATTAGCTCACCCACTCATTGGTTACCTAGCAACAACCTGTTGAGTACATGTGTAACAGCAGTTTCAGGGTTCACCACCATGCCTCATAACTGTGTAAAAATAAAACACAGTGGACTGAAGGGAAAAAAAAAAGAAAAAAAATGAAAACAAGAACTGGAGAGGAATCTGGATAGAAAAGGGAAGGAGGGATCTCATCGGTTTATTCACTGGAAAAAACAAAAAAAACAAAAAACGAATCGATAATTATTGATCAACTGATCTGAAACGCTCATATCAGATGCGTTTTTCAGCCACATTATCCAGCCAGCGACGGCTGCGTCATAAGCTGTCAAAAACAAACTTCATTGTCGAATTAAAACGTTTGATCTTAATCTGCCAGGGGACGTGGAGTGCTGCATAAATCTATAAAATCAAATAGGATTTATTTATAAGACCGAATTGCAAAGGAGGAGAACAGGGCCGGGACATGCAAATGTTTATCAGTAGTTTGTCTCTCCATTTCCACAGCTACAGTATTCAGAACTGGAAAATAATTCCAAACTGCAGGAATCCTGAACATCTAGCCATCTGTACTGAATACCTTGAGCTGCTCTTTCCCGGTGAGTGCAGCTAGCTCCTCTTCCGTCAGGTCCTCCACAGGAGAGAGGCTTCGCTCCGGAGTGGAGGACTCATCCTCTTGTTGGTCATTCTGCTGGGTTTCTGATTTCTCAGAGTTTGAGCCGCCAGACTGAAAAACAAACAAACAAACAAAAAAATAATAAATTTCAACGAAACATTCAGAACAAATCCTGTATTAAATGTACACTTCATGTAAACTGAACAAAAATGAGAGACGACAAGTAGGAGAAAAAAAAAAAGCAAATGATGCTTCAGTTAATCCTGGTCAGGTTGCTATGACAACAGGCCTTACAGGCAACATGATGGTTAGTGACCCAGTTCTCTAAAGTATATGTGTACATGAATAACATGTTAAAGAACAGAAACTGGATAAACGTGTGATACTAGAAAGGACATATTAAAAAAAAATAGATATGTACATTCGCACACAGTTTCCAGAGAAGAACTTTACCCAACTTTACCTCTGAGCTGGTCTTGCCTTCGAGCGTCGCAGCGTCAACCGGCGGCGGAGGGGATTCTACCCGATGGTCTTGCGTCTGGCCGTCATTCTTCGAGTCAGCCTGGCCCTTCCCCTTCTGCGTCTTTTTCGCCGCCCCCGCACTGTTGCTTTTCGCCCGCTTCTTTCGGAAACTAGCAAGCTGTGCAGGAAGGACAGTGACAGGTAGACGGACACATAGGTCAGGATCACGGAGCACCACCAAACCACCAGCATGGTGAAACTCAGGAGTCAAATATGGAGAGGGGTGGGGGGAAATCTCCAGTCCAGATTTGAACCAAATTAGAGCAGTGGGTTTTTGCGCACAAAGTGTATGAAGAGTTGAGTAGGAATTGTTGACAGAAAGCGACAGCAACCCATTGTGAGAAACTGCTAGTGAAGCGAGAAGAAATCCCAAAGTCGCACCCAAAATAGGGAACAGCGGAACCTGACGAGGCAGCCAAGTTCAAAATAACGTGAGCTCGCTAAAAATTCTCCGATCTCCAGAGAACTGGACCCTCCCATGAGATGAGCAGAATTTAATGACTCAGAATAACCTCAGCAGACCCGAAACAGAGGACCAGAAAGAAAGAAACTGTACTGAGCGATTTTCCTCAAGCAGAACTTTTAAAAAACATCTTCAAATCTTCTGAGTCTATAACTCCATAATGGAAGGCACAATTCCAGATCAAGCCATGTAAAATATGAACTCCTGGATCCTTTCAGTTGCAGATTCTCTTCCCTTCCTCTTCTTATTTGCCGCCTCTTTCATGGCCCATCCCTTCCTTCAGCAGCTCAGATCAGACCCCAGCAGCAGCCCTCTTAGATAGAAAGCTTGTCAGAGCTGTCCATCCGTGCCGAAAACTGTGCAATCTACATATTTTCCTGCAGAAGGGTCAGAGGTCCCACTCCTTCCATAGCGGGTCAGCCGTTTTCCGGTCCTGGTCTAGATTGTATTTCCTGCTGGCTGCTCGACAGCCTGCAGAGCCCACCATCCTAGATCATGATCCGGAGCACGGGGATCCGCAAACTCTTGGAAAGATGATGGCACACGTCTAGACCAAGGATGGAGGGTGGAGACTGGGAGAAGCATTCACACGGAGAGGAGGAGACAAAGCTCCATGTGTGGCAAGCAGCAGCGGAGTGCGCGTGCTCAATTCAATCCGAGATTACGCGCTCCCTGGAGACCTACTTGTTGCTCTGTGCAATGAGTCACATGCATGATGCATGACTGCACAGCATGTGCATGCGTGTCAGGGTTTCTGCTCATGTTAAAAATCATATTGTGGTTTCGCTTTCTACTCCCAGATTGCAGGAGGCAGCGTCCAATCTGGGATTGTTTCTTCAGCTTCATTATTCTTTATGTCTACCCTAATACTAGCAACCTGGTCTGAGGCTCTTAATTAATCACTAGCCCACCCACCGTCCATCCTTAGTGGTATTCAGTGCTTCCGCCTGCCACACAACATCAAATCTGAGAAAAAAACATCAGCCAGATGAGTTGTGTTTAGCCCAAGGCCACTTCTGCACTGCCGAGAGTCTGACTAAGCAGCTAGCCTACTGTAAAGAAAATAGGGTGTGGAAAAGGTTTTCAACGATACGAATGCTAAAACACACCGTGCAACTGGCTTAAAGGAAGTCCATTCTCTCCACCAGGGCCTTACTGGTGTTCAATCTTTGCGCACACACACATACACACACGGAGCGCTTCCATTGTGGCAACATGAGAAAAATCAGAGCAACTGACAGCAAAGCATTACCATAGCAACATCTCCTGTGTGAAACGCAAGCAAAACAAAGAATCTGTAATCCTTTAGACCCACTGCCCCATCTGATGGTCTTAGATAAGCATTGCAGTGTACGTTCAAATGCATACTGAAGTGTTATTTTAGACTGACTCTCTGAGTAATCTCTATATCTTATTAGTGTATGTTTTTAATGAGCAGTGGTGAAAGTGAAAGTATTTATATGTTGCAGAAGAGTGATAAGTGTCAAAACGGGAAGGCCCGTCACAATAAGCGTTTGTGTGACCAATGTATTCATTGCTATAAGAGGATAATACATCTGCAGTCCAAAAAAATATTTTTCTACAAGGTGACCTAATTAATTAAGGTAATTTATATTTATTATATAACAGATGTAGGCAGGTTACCAATGGCATCACTCCGTTAGTAAAGTAACTATGTTAAAATGACAGCAAGCTACAAGGAATAGCAATCCATATATAATTCTATAGTAAACAAATTTTTAAAATTAAGGCTTTTGGTAATAAATCAATCACAGAAAACCTGCTTTTAAAGTAAAACTTTTTTATTAGCAAAACAATAATCGGTACTAAAAGTCACCAATTATATTAGGTAAAGCAACTGTACTGGTAAAAATAATTAAATCATACTTTTGAACATACATATAAGATCCATTAGTTACATCTGCTTGTCGTCATTCCAAAGCAACAGACCATTTAGCAAAATAAGTCAGGAAACTACTGATAAATGTTGCTATTGTTCAAACAAAGACCAGCTAAATTTAGGAGTAGCTTTGAAGCAAGTGTGCTTATTGTGCACGTACCCTTCTCCCCCAAATGAATAATTGTTGCTTTTCTTCCTTAAAAGCAAATAAGTCATGTTCAACATTTTTATCTTAAATTTTTGTGATGGATTGTTATTTTACCAGGCCTTCCTTAAATAGTAATTTAACAGAATTACAGTGACAGGCCGCCACCCAAGAAAAATAATATACAGAAAACAGTAAAAGCAATACACCAGCAATCATCATTCCCAACACGAAGTAAAAAGTCTCAGCTAGTCACTGCTTTCCATACTTACCGACTGGCTTCGAGGCATGTTGGATGAATTCTGTTATAAGAAATATCAACAGTTTATTGAAGTTGTTTGGGAGGTTTTTGCTTCATAATAAAAGTAGTGCTGCATTTTAAACTAATCATCTGCAATGTGGCCCAATTGCATAATACATTAATTAGCTAGACCAAATCAGTGACCCAATTAAATGCACTTTTTTCCCCCCCGCGATGTAGCTTGTAGTTTTCAGTGCAAACCATTCATGACCATTGGCCCATAACTAATATGTAAAAACAGATGGTTGATGCTGCTGAAGACATAGTAGCTACAAATGATTCATTAACCAGTGACCAACATTGCAGATCTTTCCTGGTAACAATAATCATTCAATTACCGTGAGAGGATGTCTCTTGCATCAAGAAAATTGACAACCAAAGAGGGGAAATGACCAACTGGACAAAATATCAAACCGCAGTATAAAAGGTTTACAGTGTTGCTTATGCTAAGGGATGTTTGGTCAATTGGATGGACATTCGCTCCTTTCTGACCCCAGAACCAATTAAGTTTTGTTTGTTAGAAAAGCTCAGAAAGAGCAGAAGGGACACTGTAATAATTTAACCAAAAGAGAAAGGAAAAAGGTATATTGGTTATTTTTCCATCTTTCTGAAACAAAACAAAATGTAATACATCAGTGATATATTATTTGTCACTAAAAAGCTATCAGTACCCCTATATTTATTGTTTATGTTTGTCTGAAATGCTGGTTCTGCAAAATCCATTCCGTTTTAGGATGGTGGGTTTTCTGTGTTCAACCAGGCTGAGATAACTGAGGTGATCAAACTCTTAAGCAACACCTTGAGACTCCCCAAATGGAGACACTGTGTCTTCCAAAAAGAGGCTGTTTCCATCTGTATCAAGCCATTTCACAGTTAAATTAGGAAGTGCAAACATTTTGTGTAGTAATTTTCTATGAACCTGCTGACCCAGGCTTTCTATGTGAGAAAAAGATTATCTGAGGTAGACAAGTAAATATAACTTTGATCACCTTAAGCAAAAGAAAGAGCCAATCCTCTATCCACCCAGGCCCAATGTTTTTTCTATTAAAACTGTCATCAATTAATATAATCCTGCATCAGTCAATTCTGAAGTGATGAGAGCATAACAACAACAAAAGCCCCGTTTATTGATAATTTATCTCTAAGTTGGTCTTTGGTAATTGAATTTAAGAGGCGTGTCCTTAATAGCAAAAAAAGGGGGGGGGGAACTACATGTAGTTAGTTGACTAACTAGTTTCAGTTAGCTGAAACTAGCTGTTTTTGTGGATTATGTAGTTAGAAGCATGAGCCATTAAGCGGTTATAAGGTTTCTGAAAGTAATAAGGTGGATCACATTTTTATCGGACCTAAGTTTCCAAAGATCCGTCATAGCAACAAAGTATCTGTATGTCCATGAATTTAATAATGTAGTTTGAGAGATCGCCCGCCTCTGCACTTTATCTCAGTTCAAACGTAGCAATGAATTATTAACACTTTAAGCCTTTAACCAATTTAAATCCGTACGCTTGTTTTTACAGCAATGTACAAGCAGGTTGGGTTTACTAGCGGAAAGCTAATTAATGTAAATGCCAACTCATAAATACAGACACCAAACTGAACGGCTAAGGCCAGTATTTTACCAATCAGGACTTACAAACTACGAGAGAAGCTAAGCAATTTTAGGAGTGGGCGCAATTAGCTGTGACCAGATGCAAAGCTATGACAAAAGAGTTTGCTAACAGATAGCATCAAACGTTAGCAACAAACCTTGGCTCTCCCAACTTCTAACTTCTTTTGCCGTTCAGCTTCATCCATAGCTTGGTAATACAGTAATTAACAGTCTAGGACATTCGTCCTAGTGCCGGAATGGAAAGCCACTATATTTCTTTAATCCGATATGACCCTTTGGCTTAATAAAAATGTTGGAGTCTAATACGTCTAACTGTCAATAGACAACATTCAGTATGGCCGCCAAGTCGGTTGAACTCCGCCCTTAACCAGTTTTCTTCCACCAACGGTCCAATCAAATTGTGATATTTCTTTAACAAATGAACTTTGCCTCTGAAGCCCCACCTATCTTATACGTCACTCAAAACAAGACTACAACTGACCAATCACATTGGTGTTTATAGCCACCGATGTTTAATTGACGGGTCTTGTAGCCATTTAATAAGGCCTATGAATCTACCTCTTCTGTATTGCAGGTTTGAATATGCGAACACGTTACTCTATGTAAGGGTTAATTCCCAAAGTCTCATTAGGTTCTTTAACATTTCTTTAACAGTTCATTACCTGTACATATTTAGCAGAAAGAGTCAAATCTTACTTGAGTGCCACTTTATATAAAAAATGCTATATTTTAGGGCTGGTTGGATAATTTTGATCTGACTGATTATATCGATTACATTACTCTCTGAAAACAGCTGTTCTGCATCGACAGACAGGCAATGTTTGAACATTTTTTTGTCTTCGATTCTTGTTGGTTTTCCTTATTGCAACTAGAAGGCGCTCCAGTGGCGTGTGACGTAATGCAATTAGTATGCGTTGTACGCTGGTGTCATTCCTAAATGCGAGTAAAGTCGGAAAGCATCCCAATGAAATAAATAACGAGTAAACAGATCAAGTGTGTTTAAAAAAGACTGAATCACTTAAGTTTGGGTCAATTGCAACTCGCATGTCGTATCCACTCTTACTCTTTCACAATGACACAGGCGTAACAACATAAGTGAGAAGAGGCTATTAATTACGTAAATGAAGTTAATTAAACTTACGCTAATCTAAACTAGCTTAAATGTATGCCAATTAAAACTAAAAATTACGATCGCCCGAACAGGGACTTGAACCCTGGACCCTCAGATTAAAAGTCTGATGCTCTACCGACTGAGCTATCCGGGCTCTGAAGAAAATGTGAGGCGTAGACACCAAAAACCCTTTTACCCCACAATGCAATTGTGTAAGTGTATTACGAGCTCTGAGTGATCGGCTATGAACAAATATTTCAGAAGATACGCAGAGTAATTGCCATGTCTTTAATAGATTAATTTACAACTGTACAAAATATTATACAGCATCTATAAAACAGAAATCAGCTACTATTCCTTTAATTAGCCTGCATCTATAGATGCTTATTATTATAACATTGTTCTTTTTTAACCCCTCAACTGTCATGACACCACTGATTTGTAAGCATTTTGAGGGTGAAAATTAAGGAGTTTTAAACACCAGAGCTCATTGTTAGGCACATACTTAATTCAAAGCAGCCACTCATCATGGCACATCAATTTAACACATAAAATAACTTAAAATATACAAACATAGCATATAAAACAATCAAAACATGTACATTTCCTAAGAAATTATGAAAGTGCAATTCCTCATTTCCCATATTTTCCAAGTGATAAGGAGACAGAACAGCCATGCTGTGAATAGTAGAGATTTGCTGCAGGGGGAGTGATCTTGTTTAAACTCTTCTCATGCAGTTGCATTTGGGGCTACTTTATACAAAAAAGAAAATTCAACACAAAACCTGCAGTCCTAAGAAATGTCTAAATATAAGATTCAGTTTTTTACTGTGGACTAACCATATAATTATCTAAAATGTGCATATGTTCACACAGATGGCTGCTGCTCTGTTTAAATAATCATCTGAATAAGAATCAATCTGTTCAAACTGAACCATATTTATGAAAAAGTCCTAGACAATTTTTGAAAAATTAAATTGGTAAAAATACACATGTAGAGAGAATTCAAAATATGGTTGAATATGGTCAGTTAACTTACCTTAGTTTTTTGCAAAAAGGTCAAATGTAAGTCAAAATACAGAGAACATGGTATAAATAATGAACATCTTCCTGTTATTTAGTACAAGAACATATATAGACATTACAGTTTTATCTTAAAAAAAATAAAATAAAAACCATAGAACTTGTTTTGCTGGAATCATCAAAAGTACATTCTGTACTTTTGGTACTGATTTAGAGAATCATTCTTTCAGATTTATAAAAGAGTGAGCAATTAAGAACCAAGTTTGGATTAATATTCGATGCTTCCTACAGTCCCAAGTCTTTACATTTTTTTTCCTACATTGCAATAACACAATGAATTTTATTTGTAATCCTATGACATCATAAAAATGCTTAGTGTAGTCTGCCGTTGACTTGCTATAGCTTGATCCTGCAGTCACTCCTGTGATGAATGCAGTTTCATGCCACCTGCTACAGAAGTCAAAATGTTATAACATCCAGCCGTATTTATTAGTACAAAGCATCCAGTCGATTTCACTTCCAAAGAGTTTAAAGGGGTTGTGATAAACCCTGCTGTACATTTTCAAGACAAGGTACAGGTATGCAGAAGGATGAGGATGAGTGTTCAGTTAACTGTAATGGTATTTCTTCATATGGCTTATGTAACCTAAAACAAAACAAACAGAGGACACATATATATTAGAAATACAAACATGCAGGCAAAATGACTGCTACGTTCTGCCAACCAAAGAGCATTTACTTTGTGTATGTGAGGAGGGAGCTCATCCTCTGAAGTTTCCTCTTGCACAGGCTCATGATGTCTCGATGATTCTTTACCGTCCTCTGCCCAGCCACCCATTGGCACGTGGGCCGTCCTCACAACCTTTCCAGCAGTACCAAAATGGTCTTGAAAGTAAAGGTAAAGAGAAGGCAGTTGAGAAGAAACACTAAATGAGAACTATTTTTATAGAATCTGCCAAGTTCCCAGCTAAACCTTCATCACCCGACCCACCGCTCTTGTGCTAGAAAAATCAAAATCCTTTCATTCCAGTGACACAATTGACAATTATAAGAGTAAACTTAGAGCAATGACATTAAAAAAATAAAATATTTTTGAAGGAACAGTGGATAGTGACAGACCTGCGGCAGGCCCACTGTGACGCCTCTGACTGCTGCTCTGTGCCTTTTCCCCATCCTGGCCCACGTTGGTGCCGCCGGTGGCTGAAGCAGAACTGACACCGGGACTCGGAAGCGTGGCAGGGAAGGTTTGCGACCGTGGGAAATTTCGGGAGCGAGTGTTCGGCTCGCTCCTCACTTCATCGGGGATGCTGTCGCTGCTTTCGTCGCTCTCCTGTCTGTGCCACGTGTGACGCGACAGATCACCACGGGACTGCTGCTTGTGAAGCTTAACGGAAAACAAAACAAGACTCGAGCTGATATCGATTGAAATAGTCATTAAATGGATTGATAATACGTCTTAGCATAGGCAAGAATACAGATTTACCTCATGTATGTAAAGTGCATGAATGCTCATTTCAGTCGAGGCATACTCTGACAGGACTAAACTAGTGAGCTGGCCCTCCCATGCGCTGCTGCCTGAGCTCACAGTTCGGGCATCAGTTCTTAACAACAGAGAGAGTAAAAAAGGGGATAAAATAAGAAAAACAAGGCAATAAAAAGTTGAACAACAGAAAGGAAGATAGTTCAGTACCTTGCAAAGTATTCAAACTACTTGATAGGGCTTAAAGATTTTACAAATGCATCATAGTGATAGTTAGCTGGAATCATAGTGATAGAATATGCCCACATGTGACACATTACTGTGCCCAAGATGCTAAATAAAACCTACAAAGGTTCACACTTTGTTCCATTACAACCTTAAACTGCAGTTCATTTTCAGGGGATTTTATGTGGTAGACCAACACAAGGTACTGCCTAAATTTTCAAACTAAAATTTAACTGATACAAATCAGAATTTAGTCAAAACCACCTTTCAAAGCACTGACTATTTGCCAATTGCAAAATACTTAAATCTGTTTGAATGTATTGTCATGGTGCCGTTTGTTCTTTAACAAGCCTTTGAAGTCCTCAGGGAGCAGATGTTTTTTGTTTATTTTTAATTGAGATTAAATTACATACTAGTGGACTATTTACTACTAAAATGTGACTTCTGAAAGGAGCTGTGTCCAATAAATTTTACTTTGGGGTATCAGAGTCAACTGTGCAGAATACAAAAGCACACTAAACTTCTTAGCCTTCTTTTTTCTAAAATAAATTAAAACTCTGTATTATTTTGCTTCCAGGTTACATTTATTCTCCACTTTGTCTTGGTCTTCCACATAACATGCTATTCATATACATTGGAGTTTGTGGCTGTAACGTGAAAAAGGGTGAAGGGGCGTGAATAGTTTTGCAAGGCTCTGTAGATATCAGCATTTCTGGCTGATTTAAACATTGTATTTACTTACCCAGAGCCAGTCATGGCTCTGCCAGTAAAGCCACTCACTCTATGAGCAGCACTCAAGCTGCCTCTAAGGTGAAGGCTGCTGCTGATTGGCGAGAGAGAGCGCAGGGCCGTTGCTCCGCCGGGCATTCCAGTAACTGCATTGTTTGCTAAAGAGCTGTCGCAGGCGAAATGAACAGAGCCCAGGGTGGAGGGGCCTGCCAAGATGTTTGCAACAAGACTTCTTGGCTACAAGTGAGGGGGAAAAAAAGAGCAAAAGATTAAATGAATAATTAACTGCGGAGAGTTCAGACATCACCGCAGAGATATCGCTTTGTTTATGACCCTACTTCAGACTCTGACAAGGAGAGCGGATGCGTTTCAGAGGAGGCCCCTGCAGCCTCCCTGTGGACTCGCTCTTTCAGCTGGCTGATGAAGTGTGTCGTCTCTCTAGGAGGCTGCCAGTGTGGGTTGGTGATGGCGAAGTGCATCAGCGATAACTCCGTCTTCCCATCCTCCGCCTGCTGGTAGATGGATGCCTCGGTCTTTCCCTCCGACATCCACTGCGGAGCAGAAATCAAACACCGATCAATGGGCTGCTGCACGACTCGGACGTAACCACTTCTAACGCCTGTCGGGATGAGCCTCACCGCTGGGTGTCCGTGCTGCCTGATGTCCATCTGGGCAAACGAGCAGGTGTCCCCCACCCCGATCACCTCCACCGTGAAATTCCTAAAGAAATCAATGATCTCCAGAGACTTCCTCCTCAGGCAGAAGATGAGAATGATGGGAGTCACCACTG